TTCTCCTATGGCCAGGTGACTCTTCATTTAGAGAGATTGTAGACTCCAAAAGACATGGGACTGCTGGAGATGTTGCTTCAAAAGCAATGGCTGCTGGGGTTGCTTTAGTGGGGCTGGTGATAACTCCAGGATTTGTCCATCACCTGTGTAAGAAAAGTACTGCAATGCTAAATCACTAGTTGAACTTGCAAATAATGTGGTAATTTTCTTTTAAAAAAGAACATTCCCAGATACATTCAGCTATTTGACCTTTGATAAAAGAATGAAAATCATATGGTGGAGGAAAGATATCGTATTCAACAAATGGTGAAAACTTGTATGTGTTTGCAGAAGATTCAAACTGGACCCATATTTTTCACCATGTATCAAACTGAAACTGAAATGGATCAAAGATCTAAACATTAAAATTGAAATACTGAATCTACTGGAAGATGAAATAGGTAAAACTCCTGAAGACATAAATATAGGGAAGGATTTCCTAAACAGAACCACAATTGCACAAGAAATAATAGCACAAATCAACAAAAGGGATTACATCAAATTAAAAATCTCCTGCACCACAAATTAGTAAAGAGATAACCTACAAAATGGGGAAAAAATTTGCCAGCTATTCCTCAAACAGAGGATGAATATCTAGACTATATAAAGAACTAAAAAAAATAGACCTCCTAAAATAACAATCAAGAAATGGGCAAGTGAAATTAACAGACATTTCTCAGAAGAAATACAAATGGCCAACAAATATATGAAAAACTGTTCAATATCCTGGCCACGAAATAAATGCAAATTAAAGCAATACTAAGATTCCACCCTACACCAGATATAATGGCAACCATCAAGAAATTTTTTTAAAAAATGCTAGCTGGCAGGGCTACAGTGAAAAAGGAACCCTAGACATCCGCGCAAAAATAACATTTTAGAGATGTGTCAATTTTATTGATGCAGTGCAGTACATCTCATTTTTGCTTCATTTTTACTTTCTTTTATTATAATTGTTGTTATGGTTTGTATCTAGAGGTCCCCCTAAAGCCTCATTGGTCACAAGTAGGGTTTTTTTGGAGGGGGCTGGATCTAGGGTGTGTGATACTGGAATAAAAGTGTGATACTGGAATTAAGGGCACATGATAACTAAATTAGTCCTTTGATTGGTTTAGCACAGTTCTGGGTGTGGATAATGAGAAGGCCCACCATGGGTGTTGGTGGCACCAACCAAAAGGTAGGTGGCCTAGAAGGAATCAGAGGGAGAGACAGGTGCTGCTGCTTGCTGCCTGCCTGCCATGCCATGGACTATTCCTCTGCGATGCCCCTCTGCCATGCCACCCTCCTTTGGAACCAGTCAACTATGGACTGAAACCTCTACTAACTCTAAGCCAAAATAAACTTCTTCTCCTTTAATTTTGGGTGTCAGATATTCTGTCTAAGCAACAAGAAAAGTAACTAAGAGAAATGTCATTGGGCTTTTTTCATGATGTTCAGAAATTTGTATCTTTTTAGTGAGTTACCTGTTCATGTTATTTACCAATTTTTGTATCAGGGCTGTTTTTACTATTTAATTATACATTTGCTTTAATGTTACTGACTCTGACCTTCTGTCACACTGTTTGCAGACATCTTACTCAATTGTTTACCTTTCAATTTCACAATCTTTTGAACCACCACGTGTAGATTTTATGTAAACAAATAAGTTGGCTGTTTTCTTTGCTATTACAGTCATTCAGTTATGCACTGGTATGCCAGGCTCAAGAGTCTGTTTTGTAGCATTTGCTGATATTTCAGTGTCAATATTCCTATATTACCGACTTCTCTCTGCCAACTATTCTGCTTGTACAATTTGTAAATATTTAGTATATGTGCTGTCAAAGCAAGCACAAAATTTGTGGATATTTAACAGTTGGCTCTCACAAGTCTGTACAAGACAGCTCTTACACACTATTTGTCTTACTTTCTCATTACTGAGACACAACTTCAAGGAAAAGTTTAGCTTAGTTCACAGTTTGTAAGGATTTCAGTCCTGTCAGCTGGGTCCAAGGTAGGACAGCATGGCCAAGGGGCATCACAGGGGAGAGGGCCTGGCCCTGGGAAGTGATAAGCAAAGAAAAATGGGAAAGAGATGGACCCTTCCAGGCCACGCCCTCAGGGACTCACTTTTTCCAACCAGATCCCACTTCTAATGGCAAGCCACCTATAAACCCCCATAATCCAATCACCTTCCCAAACTTCCACCTAAGACCTATGAGTGTATGAGGTTTGGGGGAACATTTTAGCTATAAACCATAACCCCACTGCTAAGCTGGTTTTAGGTTTAGGAAGTTCTTCTACATAACAAGATCAAATAAATATGACTGTTTACCTCTCAAACAAAGGTTCTTATTTTATTTTCATTAATAAAATGTTTTATTATGCAAATAAAAGAATACTATTGAGTGAAAAGAAAATTATTAAACAAACAAATAATCCCACCACACAGAAATACACCAATCCCTTTTTCGTTGTATCAGTACAGACTTTTTTCTATCTATGAACATGCTTTAGGCTCTTGATATTTACTGACAAGTTGCTGTTTAGAAAGTTTAGATATCAATTTACCTACAAACATACACAGATAGAATCATATTGTGTGTGTTGTTTTAATTCGCTTTTCTCAATCTATAATATATAATCAATATGTTTTCATGTCAGTATTTATCTACAACTTTATTATTATTGACTGAATAATATTCCATTTAATTTATTATCCATTTAACATTTTAATTTATAATATATTTACCCAGTTTCTATTGTTGGGCATTTAAATTGTATCCAAATTTTCACTACTATAAGCAACTGTGCAATAAGCATCAATATTTCTCTTGGGTGTGTGTGAACAATTATTTCCTGAAGATAGGGAGGTCATCCATGAAGTAGACTTTCTGGACCAATGGCCATAAATCCTTACATTGCAGTATTAATACCTCAAAAATACTGAAGAAGTAGGAAACGTGCTCCAGATCTCACCCAAGGGTGAGAAGAGTTTCGGAATCCATTTGCTGGAACTGCTAAAGGAAAATTAAAACTATCTCACGTTGAGACTTGACTATCCTGACATTCCTCGTTAACTAGAATTTAAACCTTCAAAAGTCCCCACGGTTTCAGAAATCCACTCAGGTCTACTTGACTCCCTTTAGTTTATTCTTCTTCCTTTCTAATCAGATCGGTCTCCAAATATCCAGACTGAAATATTTCCTCTTTCTTTGGTATTCGTGGGTAAGTTCTCATTCCTTTAAAACTCACACCCTGTCACATTTACGTGAGACTCCCCCATCCACTGCCCCTTTCCTCTCTTACATTCATCCATTCCACTTTCTGCCTGTCTCTCCCTTCCTTGTCCCTCTGACTTCCCGAGCAGCTTCTTTCAGATCCTTCCTTCCTTCTGAGAAAGCTTTTTTCCCTCCTGCCACACCCAGCTGAGTCTCCAGGCCCTCAGAGACGGCCGCACCAACCCCAGAGTGGAGGGCTGACAGGGCTCTCTCTCCCGCTCAAATTCATGTTCACTTGGAACCTCAGAAGCTGACCTTATTGGAAACAGACTATGCAGGTGTAATTACGCTAAGGATCAAGATGAGATGACAAAGGACTGAGACAGCCCCTAAATCCAACTATAATGTCCTTATCAGAAACAGAAAAAGAGAAGACACAGGGGAATTTAAAGAACAGGAGAGACCTAGATTGAAGTGATGCATCTATAGGTCAAGTGACGCAAAGAATTCTGGCAGCCACCAGAAGCTAGGAGTTGAGAGGCAGGGGATAATCTCCCCCTCAGAGTTTCCTGACACACCCTGACTTCTGACTTCTGACCTTTGGCACTATGAGAAATCAATTTCTGTTGTTATAAGCCACCCAGTTAGTGTGTGACTGTTACTGCACCTTAGGAAACTAACACTTCCAGCAAAGCTGCAATTGGATGCTCTCTACTCACACCACTCTGCCTTCCAGCTTAGCCCCTGGGCTGGCTCCTGTAAAGGGCTTTCCCAGCCACAGGCCCAAGAGCCCCATTCTGCCCCATGGTTGCCTAAAGACCTTTTAACAGCTCTCATCCTAACAGGTTTCCATCTGTTTTACCATGATTTGAATAATTGCGTCAAAATTTTTATATTAAAATCCTAACCCCAAATTAATGGCATTAGAAGTTAGGGCATTGAGGGCTGATTTAGTCATGTGGGTAGAACCTTTATGAATGGGATTAGTGCCTTTTCAAAAATGTGTGTGTGTGTGTGTGTGTGTGTTTGGAGATAGGGTCTGGCTATGTAGTTCAGGCTGTCTTGAACTAACCATGTAGCATTGGCTGGCCTCAAACCTGAAGCATCCTCCTGCCTTAACCTCTTGAGTGTTAAGGATTACAGTCATACACCACCATGCCCAGCGAGATTAGTGCCTTTAAAAAAGAGAAACAGAACCAGGGATGTAGCTCAGTGGTACTACACCTGCCTCAAAAGTGCAAGATCCTGAGTTAGATTCCCAGGAGGAGAGAGAGAGAGAGAGAGAGAGAGACAGAGCTCTTTCACTCCTCCCTCTGTAGAAGACACAATGACAAGACAGGCATCTGTGAATCAAAAAGCAGGCCTCCCAGGCACACATCTGCCAGCACCTTGATTGTGGACTTCCCAGCCTCCAAAATTGGGAGAAATAAATTTCTGTTGTTTGTAAGCCAGGCTGTGGCACATTGTCCCAAAGTCTCAATGGGCTGACACCTTTCTCATCAGAGCTTATCTTTGCCAAGTCCTGTTCCTTTCAGTGTTAGTAAATGTGAACATGTGAGGCAAACTTCTCAAACTGGCAAGTTCCCTGGGGGCACGTGAAAGGACAGCACCAACATGGGATGAAGGGAGGAGTCATCTGTATGGGATTTTGGTTTGTTTTGCACTTTTCTGAGCCTATTTTTTAATCTACCCAAGAAATGATGGAGAACAAATTTTTTTAGTTTTTAAAATTTATTTTAGACAGATATTAAGTGTACATATTTATGGGGTATGACGGTGTTATTGTACATAACATTGTGGAGTAATTAAGTCAGGCTAATTAGCATAGTCATTACCACACATACTTATCATCTTTGTGGTAAGAACATTTAAGATCTACTATTTGACCAATTTTGAGATATATGTTTTTATGTTTGTTTTTTATTTCTCATATATATTTATTCATACATGTTTGCATATATAATGAATGTAAATTCATCCTGGAGAGTTGGTACAGGCCTTAACACATCTCAATTCTTTTTTGATCTCCTTTCCCTCCCCTCCTTAGATTTATATTAAAAAATTTTTTATTAACATGTAAATGTTGTACATATTTAGGAGGTACAGTGTGATATTTCAACACATGAACACAGCATCAATACAGAGTAAATAGTATACTTTTTATGACTTTCAAAACAGAAGGGCTCTGTCCATCCAGGCCAGGGAGGAGTGGCAGGTGGGCAATAAGAAAGGCTCATCAGGCTTCTGCAAGGCCACATTCCGCTCCGGTAAAAGCCGGGTCCTCTCGCCTCCTGAAGTAGCCTAGAAAGAGGAGCCCTCAGCAGAGACGCTGCTGCTGCTGTGCTCGAGCACAACAGGCCCAGGTGCTCAAGGGCATGGCAGCTCACAGGCCAGTGGGGCAGGACCTCCAGACCAACAGGTGTTCAGTGTGGACCCTGCAGGGCCCACCCACAACAGCCCAGCTGCACCATGTCCTTAAGGTTCTGTAGGATAAAACAGAGGACTGATGACATCAAGGCTGACAAGGGCTATTTGTTTATGCAGATTTTTACTGTAGATCTGCCATGGCCCATGCACTGGGCCCTCAGCACCAGGGAGAAGCAGTGAACCCTCTGGAAGGTTCCCATTCTCCTGCCACTTATTGTTAGTGCAGTGAAGCAGAAATCAAGTCAGCAAGGTAAGTGCAGAGAGCAACACATGCCATGAAGGTAACAATGAGAGAAACGTTCAGGAGGTGGCCAGAGGTCTACGGGAGGCCCTCTGTCCAGGTGGTGTTGGAGTGAGACGTAATGGTGAGGACAGCCAAGCTGACTCAAGGGAAAGCGGCTCCAGGTCAAGTGCAGGGGTGAGACGGGCGGAAGCCAGTGTGAGGCATTCAGAACACCAGAAGGCAACTGGGACAAGAGGAAAGACGGAAGGAGGAAGGTAGGTCGGTAGGAGGTTTTAAGCAGGGAACAACTTAGTAGAATTTATACCTTAAATCACTCTGACTGCTGTCTGGAAAATGTGTGTGGCAAGCGTGGGGCGAGGAGGCCAGTGAAGAGGCTATTTTGCAGTTGTACAGGTGAGAGATAGCAGGGCCTTGGGACAGCGGATGCTCTGCTCTAGGTCAAAGAGTGGAACACACACGGTCCTGTCACAACAGGAGAGCTGTCCACTACCCTTTCACAGATGTATGTGTTCTTGAGGGTGTAGATCAAGATGCTCTATCAAAGGAATCAAAAATATAGTGGTTTAAGCAAGGTGGAAGTGTCCAGGCCAGCTCTGGGCATGAGCCAGAATTCTAAAACAACCACACAAACCCCATTCAACATCCAGTTACACATATGAGTAAATTCGGCCCTATATTCCTGTGGCAAGCAAGTACATCTGTATCCTTTATTTTTTCTCTTTATATACATACATTTTTATGCTGTGAGTCTCCACCGGTTATCACCTATCTTTGCATCAGGATCAAAAAATTAAACTATTACTCAAATGTGGAAAAACATGCTTTCTTATATTCACACTCCAGTAATTTTCTTCTCAAGCCCCAAAGCTGAACAGGATGACAGAGCTCACCCAGGGGGCAATAGGAACGCATGGCACACTTGAAGGATCCGTGTGCACAATTCTGAGCTGGATTCTTTTTTTGCTGACCTGGTCACACAGAACCCATCTGGGAAAGGAAAGGGGAGAGGAAATCTCCCCGAGTGACTATGCAGTTATTCAGAAAGGTCTGTTTCAATTTAAAAACAGATGATTATTTTTTAAATGTGATTTTAATTATGTACTTCTATCACTCAAGAACCTACAGGGTCTCCCTCTTTTCTCAAGAATCAGATTTAAGTTCATCAGGAATATCTGTTTCCACCATCCTCTCTAATATCAAACTATTTCTGACTGAAACTCTTAAATCAAATTATATTACAGTGACTCTCAAATAGGGGTGTAACATATTCACCAGGATATACTGAATTGGACTCTCAAAAGAAGAGAACTCACCATATGCTTTACTTGAAAAATACTGCACAGGTAATTCAGATGGATATCACCTGCTGAAAACAGATAATTAAACCAGAAGAGACTGAGCCATAGCTAAATTGCAAAATGAGCACCTTCACTCCCAGCCCAATTCCCCAGCTCATTTGGAACAAGGCGTTCATTATCTTTCCCAAGTACATGAAAAAAATGGAAGCACCTCCATTTATAATTTTAAAACATCATGTTCATCAGAGTCTATGTCTCCTAAGTTGAATTTCCTGGTCTTTTTTTAAAGTTTTCACATCATTGTTGTCAGTGGCTAGTGTTAATTTAATATTAAAAGCAGCTCTAATGTTAGCCCAAAAAAGTCCATGTTTGCTCTTCTCTGCGGGCCATTCCAGGTAAGTCCGCTGTGCCATGAGAGCCCGCAGCCTGTGATACTTACTAGGAATGTCATTTTGTGAAATGGGTTCCAGTAAGATCAGGATTAAGTTGTTAGACCCTTTGCGGAAGAGCTGGTGGTGGGCAAAATAGAGTTCATAATGGCACCACTCACTCTGGATAAAGTTGGGAGACAAAACAAAGATGGACTTGTAACTCTTCTCAATGCAATTGATGATATTTTCCAAAATACTCTTGCCAGGAACAAAGTTCCTCTCATGGAGGCAGATCTGTAAATTTTCTTTTTCTAGGTTTGGTAGTAATTCATTCTTCACCCAGGCAGAATCATGCCCGCTGTATGAGATAAAAGCATGAAATTGGAGAGTTCCTTGGAGTTCCTCCAAGCAGATGTTCCTAGCCCTGTGCCGGGTCTGGGTCCACTGACACATCATCCTGAGATACCAGGGCAGATCAAAGTAGTGGCAAAGGAAGGTCACAGTAGCAGCCAACACCAGCATGGTGGTCACAACGGTAAGAATAAGCAGAGTGGTGTTGCAGGATAGTGGCGACACATGGAAGTCCTTTAGCAGGACTCCCTTAGAGCTTTCTGGATAGTCACACTTGTAAGAATCAGGCCAGTCCTGCGCTACTTCACTTGACACTTGGTCTATATTTTTGATGAATTCTCTTAACTCGCATGTGCATAGGAATGGGTTGTTCCCTGCTCTCATTGACCTAATCTTCTGGCAGCTCTGGAAGAAATCAGCTGATGGGTGGGACATTGAATTATGGTCAATGATCAGTGCAGAAAGGCTGCTGAAGGTACCACAACCAGGAAGGTCGGTTAAAGAATTGAAAGCAATGTTGAGTTCTTGCAAAGCTTGTAGATGGGTGACATTCTTAGGGATGTTGGTTATTCTATTGTTGTGAAGATCGAGTATCTTGACCTTGGGAGGCAAACATCTGAATACAGAATCAGTAAGCGTATTTGAAGACATATTTAACACCACTATACTCTCAACCCACATGCAATTTTCTTCATACCTGTGAGATTCCAGAGAATTCCAGCTAACATCCAATATTTCTAAAGATGGCATATTTTTAGTCATAAGGCTTACTTTGTAAAGGTTTTTTAAACTATTCTTTCGCAAAATAAGTGTCTCCAGTCTCACTAAAGTGGAACATGTGTCAAAAACACTATCTGTGAACACATTTTGGGTAAAGTTCAAAAATTTAAATGTGCTGGATGCTACAGGACAAAGCATGTGAATAAAAGGTGTGTCTGATATGGTTAACATCATAATATTCATCTCAGAAAATACTTTGTATAATACTGTCTGTGAAAAAATAAAAACTCGCTTTGTAATATGTTCTATTTTCAAGGCTTTCAATGTTGTTTCTGGATAAGTGACTTGTATATCACTGACAATTTCATCTAATGTTAAATTGTAAATATTGAGGTATTCCACAGGCCTGGGCCAAAGGAATTTAAGAATTTCAACCAAGCATTTCCAAGGGGTTTCTATATTATTGAGAGTAATATTCAGTAACATCGGACCTCTAATGAGTCCTAATAAAAATTTAACAAAAACTTGACAGTTCCTCTCATTCAATTTAATATTAGTCAGTTGTAAGCACCCTAAAGCATTCACTGATATGTTCACCTGGACCGAGAATAAACTATTTGGGTGAAAAACAAAGTGAAGCGTTTTTGTATTCAGAATTTGAAGCTTTTCGCTTACATTTTCCTTTATATAATAATCTCCCAAAACCAGAAGAATGTAATTTAGATGCAAGTGAGCAACCGGTAGCAGATCTATTTGTTGAAACCTCACGGCACTTAATCCTAGGAAATTGAGTTGGGTCAAGTTGCCAAATTCCACACAGATGGGCAGCACATCAAAGTCATTGAATGAGAGGTCTAGATGCTTCAGACTCACCACAGGGTAGCAGCACATCTTTTGTAGCTGATTATGAGATAAATCCAAATATTCTAAATCCTGATTGAACTTGAAAACACTCAAATCGAGTCTCCGGATTCTATTATGGGAAAGTTTCAGAACTTTAAGCCCTGACAAAAAGCTGATGTCAGAGACCTGGAGCTCAGATATGTAGTTTTGAGATATATCTAAGCTTTTGGTTGTTGGCAGCAGGGTTTTTGGAATCCGAGTAAGGTTATTTTTTGACATGCACACTTTGAATTCACTTTCTTCACAGATCTGGGTTATGGTTCCAACTATTAAGGTCATGATGCAGATTAAATAAAAGGTTCTGATAACAGTTTCTTTGTCTTGGGTCATGATGCAGTGGTTGTTCAAAAGGGTAGCTGCTCTTCGGTGCACTCTGATTTGAGGCCAAGTTCTAGAAATATACATCAAGATGAACAAAGATTGTGTGATTACTTGCAAACTCCTCCCTAATTCTTTTTTTTTTTTTTTCAGTTTTGGTTTTTTGAGACAGGGTCTCACTATGTAGTTGAGACTGATCTGGAATTCACTATGCAGTCCAGGCTGGTCTCATACTCACAGCGATCCTCCTGCCTCAGCCTCCTGAGTGCTGGGATTACAGGCATGTGCCACCACACCCGGCTTCCTCCTCAATTATTAATGATTTCTTCATTTACTGCCACAGTGATTTCTGTCCCCATCATTTTATGATATTTTCCCCTGTTATGCAGCTTACTGATGTCAGAGGGGACAATTAGACCTTTTTGTTGTTGTTGTTTAGCAAAGAATTGTGGTTATGTATTTTGACCTGTCCAATGGCATCCTAAAGGGTTAACTTGGGGCTACCCTTTGTTCCACACACAGTTCAGAACTTTCCTAGAGCCAAAGCAGCCTCTTGGGCAGTGTTTGTTGAAAACTTTAAAAAGGAAAATACACTAGCTACAGACATCTGGGACAAGAGATAACATACAGATGGGCAAGCAGCAGATACACAGGAGGCTGGAAAAGGAAACACCCAGGAGATAAAAGGATTTAGAAAGTTCCATGTGTGCCAGGGAATCTAGAAGTCCACACGCATGCCCAGAGCTGGACACATACTTAGAGAACACCTGAGAAAATGCTAAATTTTTACCTCTGACTAAAATCTTAGGCTTCATGCAAGCAGAAAGTAGACTAAGGCAGAGTCCTGAACAGCCTGGATAAGTGTGGGAAAAGCCTATCAACACAGAGCCAGTCTGTGAAAGAGATTAGACATTTTGGTTTTCATTTTTAGTGTTTTGTTTTCAGTTTTGCTCCAGGTGTTTAAGGAAACCTTAAATAACCAACTGAGCACAGAAGTAACAGAACAGAGAATTCAATATGATTGATAGATGACATAGTCTTTACAAAAATAATTAGAGAACTCTGGCTGTATGTCAATGGTAAGGCACTTGCCTAGGGTATGCACAAGGCCTGGGGTTTAATCCCCAACCACAGCGCCACAAAAATAAATGAATTGATATGCAAAAATATCTTAGAAAGGTCACTAAATAAACACAACCTACAACAAGCAGCAACCACAACCCCTGGGGAGGTCGACAGAAATTGATTTCTAGAGTTATATAATTATAATATTTATGATATCTGGCTTTAAAAAAGAAAACCTACCAGCCATGCTTAAAACAAGAAAGTATAGTATTACTCACTCACAGAGGCATAAATAATAATTAAAAGAACAAAGCCAGACTTTGACACTATCCAATATTAACATTACTCTAAAACTACAGTAATCAAGACAGTGTGGTACTGGGGGAAAAATAGGCAAATAGATCATTGGAACAGAATAGAGAGCTCACAAGTAGACCCACATAAACAGAATCAACTGGTTTTTGACAAAGAGGAAAAGGCAACTCAATGGAGAAAGGATGGTCTTAAGAAATGATGGTGTAGAGCCAGGGATTTAGCTCAATGGTGCTGCCACCTGCCTTGCAAGTGCAAGGTCCCAACTTCGATCCCTGGTACTAAAAAAGAAATAATGGTGTAACAAATAGACATCCACATGCAAGAAGAAGAAGAATAGGGAAGAGGAGAAGAAAGAGAAGAAGAAAAGGAGGAAGAGGAGGAAGGAGAACTAGAAAAGCAGGAATAGAGAGAAGAACATAGGCACAGACCTTGTAATTTTTACCAAAAAAATAGCTCAAAATGGATCATAGACCTAAATATAAAGTGCAAAATTATAAAATTTCTAGAAGACAACACAGAAGAAAATGTAGGTGATTTGGGGTTTGGAGATGACTTTCCATAAAATAAAAAAAATGTTAAAATAGATGTCATTGCTGTGCTAATATTGCAAAGCAAGTTGTCTTACTTACTTTTCCTGTTGCTGAGACAAAACATCCAACACCCAAAGTTAAGGGAGGAAAAGTTTATTTAGTTCACAGTTGGGTTTCAGTTCATAGTCAGCTGCCTCTAAGGCAGGGTGGCATGAGAGACAAGTATCATAGAGGATAAAGAGTTCACGGTGGGCAAAAAATAGCAAAGCAAGCAAGGGACAAGTCAAGCCTCCTTCTGTCCTTTATATTATATCGAGGCTTCTGAGATTTGGGCTGTGCCAAACCAATCAGTGGACTGATTTAGTAATCATCCACTCTTAATCCTAGCATTGCACCATGAATCAATCACACACTCTAGATTCAGCCAACTCAGAAAAATCCCCACCTATGAGTGCATGAGGTTTTGGGGGGATATCTAGGCACAAGCCATAACAGGAATAAAAAGATAAACCACAGACTAGGAGAAAATATTTGCAAAAACATATATCTGATTAAGGATTTATATCCCAAAAATACAAATAATTCTTAAACTATACAATAAAAAAGGAACATAACTAAAAGTGAGCAAAAGATATGAACAGCCACCTGACCAAGGAACATATGCAAATAGCACATTCATCATATGTTATCAGGGAATCACAACTTAAAACAATGATGAAATATTACTACAAATCTATGATAATGGTAAAATCCAAAAGCAGCAAATGCTGGACAGGATGGGGAACCACAGGAACTATCACTCAGTCATAAGAATACAAAATGATATAGCAATTTTGCAAAACAGTCTGAGTTTCTTGCAAAACTAAGCATAGTTTTATCAAATGATCCATCAATCACCCTCCTGAGTATTTACCTAAATGAACTGTAAACTATATCCACACAAAAACCTGCACATAGGTATTTACAAAAGTGTATTCAAATCTACAGAAAATTGAAAGAAAAGATGTTTTAATAGATGAAAAGATAAACAAAATGTGCATTCATACATCAAAATATTACTTAACCATAAAAAGAAATTAGCTATCAAGGTATACAAAGACATAGAAGAAACTTAAATGCATATTTCTAAGTGCAAGGAGCCAGTCTAAAGAGGCTACATATTATGTAACATCAGTTATGTGACTTTTGGAAAAGACAAAACTAAAGAGACAATGAAAAGATCAAGGATTCCCAAGGGTTCAGCGGGAGGGAGGGAGCAAGAGAACAAAAGATGAATTGGTAAAGTACAGAAAAATTTTAGGACAAAAGAACTACTGTCTATATTACTGTACTGAATACACTGCATTATCTATCCAGCCAAGCGTGACACTGGGTCCAGTAGACTCATGCCTTACTTTTCTACTGTAAATTTGTACTATAGCATAATAGTAACCATATGTCTCAGTACCCTTCCCTGAGGGATACAGGAAGCAATCTATGTGTTTACTCACTTAGTATAATGAGCAGCAAGGTGAGTACACATGTGCAAAATTGGGAAAATTGGATTTTTACCCACATAATGCTAGGTCTAACAAGTTTTGCATATGTTTTCCTGATCATCTTAGAGGGGCCAATAGACCCACCACACCACTACAGGATTTTTTTTTGTTTTTGTTTTTGTTTTAATATTTTAAAATTTTTTTCTGGTAGAGGTAGCCAATTCAGCACAATGGCACATGAAAAAAAACAGATTTTGGATGTCAAATGTGAGGCATCAGATTACTCATGCATAGATGATGAAGATGATCCATTTTGGTAAAATAGATATTTTCATAATAGAAGAGTATTGTGGGTATATGAAGATGATGATGATGACTTTGATATTCGTCATATGAGCCAAAGTTCCTGTGACAGTGAAATGGAGCAAGAATTGACTGATATAGACATAGGAGATGCAGACCTCCTACATTCAGATGATGAAGAAAACAGCAATGTGAATACATATTTGACTAGTCAAAATGTAGCAAAGTGGCCAGACAACCAAAGAGAGGGATCCAATGTTAGAACTAAGTCCAAAAATATAGTGGGGGTCTTGGCAGAGGTGAAACACATTGGACAGAAGGCCAGCACTGCCATTCAATGTTGGAAATTGTAACAGACAAAATGCTACAAGATGGTGTGAAATACACAAAGGCTGAAATGCAAGTAAAATTTTCTTTATGCACCTATAGCCATATTCAAAAAAGCATTTATTATGATACCTCACTAGCTGAACTGAAAGCATTCATAGGTCTGAGGTACTTAGCAGGGATTTCTCATGGTAATCTCAGGAATGTAAAAGTCTTATGGAAAAGTGAGAGATCAAAATGTGGCATAAACATTTAAGCCCTTGTAGATGCAAAGACTTATTTTGCTTTCAACTTAGACATGTATCCTGGAACTCAGCCATCAGGTCCTTATTCATCTTGTAACAAACTGAATGATGTTTTGAACAGACTTGCTCCCATCTCCCAACCTAATCAGAATGTGACATATGACAATTGGTTTACCAGTTTCTAATTGATGTTTCATTTGCTAACAGAACACAAGCTGACCAGCACAGAAACTGTACAAAGAAACAAAGCAGAAATTCCAAATGAAATGTTGCAATTTTGAAACAGAGAATTGCATAATGTAATCTTATCTTTGGATTTCAGAAAGATTTGCATTGGCCTCATATATGGCAAAGAAAAGCAAACTGGTACTGCTGATGTCAACATTGCACCATAATGAAAATATTGATAAGGAAACCTCAACAAAATGGAAGCCTGAGATGGAAACTTTCTACAAGAAAACCAAAGGTGGAGTAGATGTTGTTGTTGAGTTATGCAGCAATTATGATGTCACACAAAACAACAAACACTGCCAATAGTTGTGTTTTACTTAATCCTAAACATGTGTGGCATAGTTGAGAGTTTACAAAGAAAATAACAAGTGCAAAAACATGATAAGAAATTTTCTTAGAACGTTGGGACTGGAATGCATAAAAGATCATTTACAGCAGAAGAAAAACAAAATGCTTTTTCCCCAGGAAACTATGCAAATAAAATTATGGCACATATCAGTGAGCTGACAGGTGAACAGACAGGTGCAGCATCACAAGGCCTACTATGACAACAGAAAAACCAAAAAGATGTCAACTGTG